AACATCATAGTAGTCAGGTTGAGACAATGTGTGTTGAATGTAAATATCAACACTTTGGTGCACCCTATAAAGATCTGCAATTTCTAATGCACCCTACAAGTGCATTCATCCCAAATTGAGGGTCCTTGTAATATATTGTTTCAAAATCCTTATAACCCAAGTCTTTCAATACACCAACTAGCTCAAAATAACTTCATTTGTCTACATTTACTTTCAAATCATCTACTATTCCATTCTCATGTACACTAAGACCTTCATCGGTGAATTCACCACTATGATGAATTTTGAGATTTATGTATTCATCCATGATACCTAATCATATCATCTAAATAATTCGAGTTTACACTAAATTTTTTACATAAACCCTTATTTGAACATAACCAGATATTGTCCTATGAGATTCGTAAACCCTAAATCAGAAAGAAATGACTTAACCTTTTGATAAACACTCCTTGAATCGTCTCCAATCCTTCGCGTTTGGAACAATCCTTTGCGCCTTCAACGCGTCGCTTCAATCCCTTGCAGGGCTTTCAAGCACAAAGTTCAAGACATGATTGACAGGGATGCTATCAACTTCAATGGGAAGTCTCCAAATGTCATCAACAACCATATGCCGCCGGCCAACTAGTGCCTACATCAGATTAAATCAAGTCAAGTCAAGTTCGTCTCCCGAAGAAGGCAGTCATGTTGCCATTTCATTATTTGCTTTCTTGTATTTTGTCTTTATTTGTTTAAGTATTGTATGCTTTGAACATTGTCATTCGTATTTGGTTTTCATTAATGTATTGTTTATGCATGTTTTGAATTAGTCATGTCGTATTCACTCATTATTTTCACTTATCACAAATCATCGACACATTTTCTCACTTCACTCTATCAACTGTTGTTTAGCATGATTTGAGGGAGGATGACGAAAATAAAATACTCATAATTGTAAATCGTATGCTTTCAGACAGAATCTCGTCGATGATGTACATACATTGTTTCAATTCCCCAAACACCGGAGATATAAGGAGCAATCCCTAGTAAGTAGTAGTTTCCTTCGGATATTTAAACCTTTTACACTCAACCTGGGGCAGGGTAGTGTTCAGTTAATCCAATAACGCAAAGCAAATTCAAAAGACATGACGGTTGTTCATCAAAGACCCATGATATGGCAGTCACAATCCTCCAACAAAATAAAAAAAATCATAAGCCTGCTAAGTCAAGCACCTCAAAAGGAACTTAGGCAAAAATAAGGCAATCCCGATGGATCTGACGAGCAAAATCAGTCCATGCAAAAGTTAGGGATAAAAAACAAAAGAGGTCATCAAACTCTCAATAAAAACAAAATAAGATTCAGTGACCACCATATCAATCAAAAGGGTCACTGACATTCATCAAAAGAAAAATAAGGTGACTGCCATCTCAAGCAAACCTTGAATCATCAAGCTTACACTGTCAGGATAGGCATGTGAAGAATTAAATGAACATAGGAATGAAGATCATCAAGAAGAAGGGGCGGGTGCAAATCATACTTTGAGCCTAATATCCTTTATTTCATAAAACCGTGAACCAGACCATGTTACAACCCTCGAAAGACCTAATTGAGACGAGATTTATTTCTGAAAGCATACCATTGCAAGGTTGCATAAACTGACTCCTCATATGTATGCTAGTTATCAGCATAGGTGTCATTTCCATGCTATATCTTTACACCAATCAAAATTAGCACTACGTTTGGGCTAACGGTCCATTCGTTTCACACCATCACGACACTTCAATAAATGACACTTTTTCAAAACTTGCACAAGCTTTACATTAAGATTACTATTCGTGAATGTATAATTTTAACTGCAAATCAGTGCTAGACATCAAAGATACTTCAACAAGGTGAAATCAAAGAGAAACTTGACTTTCAGTGGCTACACGAAGCGAAGCTATCTCAAAACCCACAGGTTGGGGCAAGTCATCTCCAAAGCATCAAAATTCGAAGTTCGGCTTCAACTTCAAAATGGGTTAATCAGGGGCGGGCCATTAACATGTTCATACTGGGGTAAGACCAAGTCGTCCTGACCATCAGGAAGAGTTGCAATCTTCTCTGAGGCCGGTTCACAGTAAATCACCAAGTACCCAGACTTGGGGCATCGAGTGCATCTTCTCTTCCAGTCATGGCGTCTTCAGCAAACTGCGTGTCGAGGAAGTCAATCCCTCCCACCACCCAAAGTTCAATCTGCATTGGTAATTACCTAGAGTCCACGATGTTGGCGTCTCCCACCTGCATTTCCAATCGCCTGTCTGCAATCATACACATCGCATTCGATATCATAAGCATCTATTGCATCATATGCATATCCTAAACCATATCATACTTTCCTGCTTGCATCTCTGCTCGTTTGCATTTGCATTTTCATTTCCATTTCGTCATGGAACATCATTAACATCAAGCATTCACATATGCAAGTCAAGGTTCAGGATCAATTTCGAAGATCTCCAAGACCATCATCAGCCTAGTCAGCGACATTTTTGCAAGACCGTGGGTTTCCCTCACGAAATTCAAAGATATTAAAGCAAGATTCAGCCCAGTCAGGGACATCTTTTTCAAGACCATGGGTGCTTTCCATGACGTATTTCAATCTTGTGGTTGATCAGATTTCCAAGTTGACATTCAGCCCAGCCAAGGGCATCTTTAACAAAGTCGTGAGCATTCCTCGCGAAGTTGTTCAACCTTTCGTTGACCAAGACAAAACATCAAGCAAACTCAGCCCAGACAGGGGCATCTCCTTCAAGTTCATGGATGTTCCTCATGAAGTTATTTGAATCTTTTGTGGTCAAAACTATGACCTCCAAGCAATTCATTTGGCGTTTCCTGTTAACTTGATTCAATCCAATCTTCCTCTTGGGTGTTCCCTAGTGAGTTGTATCCAGCAAACATGACCTTTGTCAGACGCTTTACTATCATCCTTTTGGTGATAGACAAACCTCGTTGGTTCAATCTAGCCTGCATCCTTTTGGTGTTGGTAACCTTCAATTGTGCGTTGCTCTATCATCCTTTTGGTGATAGTAGCCGGTGTGAGTTTGCTCCGTCATCCTTTTGGTGGTTGGTCTGTCATCTCGTTGATGCCAGATTATGTGAGTGTTTTGCTCTATCATCCTTTTGGTGGTAGTAGCCGTTATGTGTTTGCTCTATCATCCTTTTGGTGGTAGTAGCCAGTGTGAGTTCGCTCTGTTATCCTTTTGGTGGTGGGTCTGTCATTTCGTTAGTGTTAGATTATGCGAGTGTTTATCATCCTTTTGGTGGTAGTAGCCGGTGTGAGTTCGCTTCGTCATCCTTTTGGTGGTGGGTCTGTCATCTCGTTGATTCCAGATTGTGTGAGTGTTTTGCTCTATCATCCTTTTGGTGGTAGTAGCTGTTATGTGTTTACTCTATCATCCTTTTGGTGGTAGTAGCCGATGTGAGTTCGCTCCGTCGTCCTTTTCGTGATGGGTCTATCATTTCGTTGATGCCAGATTATGCGAGTGTTTACTCTATCATCCTTTTGGTGGTAGTAGCCGGTGTGAGTTTGCTCTGTCATCCTTTTGGTGGTGGGTCTGTCATCTCGTTGATGTCAGATTGTGCGAGTGTTTGCTTTATCATCCTTTTGGTGGTAGTAACCGTTATGTGTTTGCTCTATCATCCTTTTGGTGGTAGTAGCCGGTGTGAGTTTGCTTCGTCATCCTTTTGGTGGTGGGTCTGTCATTTCGTTGATGTCAGATTGTATTTGCTCTATCATCCTTTTGGTGGTAGTAGCCGGTGTGAGTTCGTTCCGTCATCCTTTTGGTGGTAGTAGCCGGTGTGAGTTTGCTCCGTCATCCTTTTGGTGGTGAGTCTGTCATTTCGTTGATGCCAGATTGTGTGAGTGTTTTGCTCTATCATCCTTTTGGTGGTAGTAGCCGGTGTGAGTTCGTTTCGTCGTCCTTTTGGTGGTGGTGGATCTGTCATCTCGTTGATGTCAGATTGTGCGAGTGTTTGCTCTATCATCCTTTTGGTGGTAGTGGTTTGTGTGTGTTTCGTCCCATCATCCTTTTGGTGATGGCGACCTTATGCGTTACTCACGGTCTGCTCAGGGATATACCTTTATCCAGTATTTCAATTCCCGAACATTTCTTTTCTTTTCGGACAAATTCAAGGTCTTCTTCATATCTAATTGACTTCTACCTCGAGAGGAAGAACGCTGGAGCAGTTCATTTTCCTAAGTTTAAGCCGATTAGATAAGGGAATCTGTCATACCCCAAAGTTGTCTTACATGTATAACCTTAATATATACACATATGTCTATCAACCATTATTCAGAAAAACTATTTAAAAAAATATGTCGCTTATACTTGTTGTCCAAACTCAGGGTGTCAAAAGGTTAAAGAGAATTGAACTGAGGTTCATTTAAGGTCAAGTCAGGTGTGAGGGAAGTGTTGACTGAGGTTCATCCAGTAGGGTCATAATTTTGATCAGACAATGGTGTATCCAAAATTATCAGGTCAAGAGTGTATACAATGAGGCTCGAGGTTCATCTTGTTTGACCTAATCTTGGTCAAGCAAGAATGTGCTTCAAGACTAAGGCCAGGGTGTGCATCTAGTTTCACTTGGTGTAAAGATATCAGCCACTTAGTTATATAATAAATTCTAATTTTCAAAAAAAGAATAATAATAATAATAATAAAGAAATAGAACATTAAAATTGAGGAAGAAAAACAAGGGATAAATTGTGAGGATCATTGTCCATTCCATTGGCACCACATAAGTATCATACATTAACATAAAAACCTACAAGAACCCATCCCATAGTTGGTCAAATTCAATGTCCCAGATATCTTAATCATAAACTACATGTCCTCCATAAAAGTAGGACCGAGTTCTTTTATTATTTCCAGAATTACAAAAACTACAAGCTATAAAACTTTAGTCATGTAAATTACAATGAGAATCATAATATTTAAATTAGAAATACACAATTAGAAAGTAACAGAAATGCATGACATTTAAGTTAACCTTTGGCGCCCAGTCCCCGGGACTTTGGTAACCTAACAGCACCCAATGGAGCAGTAATGCCCTGTGATTCTCTGCCTAATCCTGTACCTTCAACAAACCCCATCTTTGCCATCATCTTTGATCCAAACCCTGTTGTATGCTTTTCAAAAGCACCAATACCTGAAGTTGAAGATCCTTTTGTATGGCTTTCAATAGAACCGATACCTGAAGTTGAAGATCTTTTTCTATGCTTTCCAGAAGAACCGATACTTGAAGACCCTTTTATATGCTTTTCATAAGAACCACCAATTCCTAAGCTTTTGGTACGCTTTTCAGAAGTACCAATACTAGAAGACTTGTCCCTAGCTGGCGCTGGCTCATCAACAATGCAAGAGAATTCCACACCCAAACCAAGTGATTTGGGCCTTTTGACAACCTCAATGGGCTGTGCTATACCTTGACTATTTTTCCCCAATCCTTCTCCTTCAGTGTATCCCATTTTAGCCATCATTTTTGAACCAAAACCAGTAGTGTGTACCTCAAAAGAACCTATATCAGCAGAGCTGGTGGCACACTTCTTATTTGCACTATCAGTCTCTTCAGAATCCATGGCAATGACCTTTACAGTTTCTGGGTGGATTGTGCCACTTGATACAAATGACAATGGCTGACTAGCATATGAACTCTTTTGTCCACTCCCTTTCTTGTCCTTTACTTTACTACTGCCTTTGTTAGCAGAGTTCTTTGGTGTCTTGCTCTGGCCAGATTGAAGTTCTAGCAGTTTAAAATCATTCCTTTTAGCATTTTTCTTTCTCAGTCTTCTGCTTTCACTCGCCGACTTCTTGTTCGTAGGATCCATGACAGAAAAATCAGCTTCCTCATCATCAGCTCCTAACAACTGAAGTTAATGAAATAGTTAGTCTCAGCTATAAAAGCTTACAGTACAGATGAATAAAAATCTGTAAACATGACTTTGATATAGCAGTTAAAAAATCTGAAGTTTCAAATAAATATCCAATGGTTGAATTGAAAGATCAAAAGCTTCAAATTAATGTTTTGAAGTTTCATTGGCATTGGTGGAAGAGTGGGAAAAATGAGAAGATGGGCCATAAATTCTCCGCAAGGTGTAAATAAATGAATTTCAAGATGTAACTAGTAAATAAATGAATTTCAAGATGTAACTAGTGATCCCACAGAACCTTTTCCAGGCGCTGTCTACCACTTGAAGATGGCATGGATGTAGAATGTGTTTGCATCACTGTCACAAATCTGAAACCATAAATCCAGACTAGGTATTAATTTTGCAACTGTAGACACTAACAATCAATTATTTGACTATGGGAAGATCATCACCACCTTCTTTTCCCAGAATTTTGGCAGCTACTCCGCAACTGATAAACTCCAGCCAACCGCTGTACCTAAATTCATTGAAAACTGAAATCATTACAACGCCAACGCGGTTCAGAATAGGTTGACAAGAGTGCATGACAAATTAAATAGTAGATGATTATCATCTCACTAACCCGGCATACCAAAATCACTTACAACTGATGTTGGAATACAGAATTAGAACTATAGTTCAGAATTTTAATTTCAAAATCAATTCTATTAAAATTTGAATCAGTTTGAAATTATCATCTTTGGTTCTGAAAAAAATAGACTGGAGGATTAGAAATCAATATTGAATCCTAATTTATTTATCTTTTGATACAAATATTGAAGTCTAATTTGTAATGTAAGATCTAGGATTTGAAAAAATACATAAATAAATATAACGTTGTTTTATTTAACATGGACAATCAAACATTTCAAATATAAATTCTAACTATAAATTAAAAATATTATTTTTTATATTTCAATTTCTCATGATTTTGATGAACTTAACGAGTCTTAATAGTAGAAAAAGGTTACCACAACATATTATTTTGTAGGCTTAAATGCATTTTTGTTCCATTATTTTACAAACCGGTTTTTTGGTCCACAATTTCACTTTTTATGGAATTTTCACCCTCCATCCCATTTTGGGGTCATTGTTACGAAACTATTTGTGTATAACACAGAGACATACTCCTGATATAAAATCCACATCGGCAAAAATGACATCAAAATAGAATGAGTGGAATTACAGAAAAAGGTGAAACTGGAGGACCAAAAAACAGTTTTTAAAATGGGAGGACCAAAACTTCATTTTAAAATAAAAATAGGGGAGCCAAAGGTGCACTTGAGCTTTTTTCTTGTAACAGTTTGAGAGTATTTTTGAAATAGATACTAAATTTAATTTTTATTTCCGAAAACTATGTTAATATCATCACAATTACCGTACATCCTTCACAGAATAAAACAGAAGCCAGTATACAACATAAAACAGAAACCGGTAATCATTTGAAATAGCAATAAATTTATGCCATACTACTTTTAGGACACTTGTGAGAGAGACCGGCATACAGTCAGAAAGGATTCCTACCTGTGAGCAATCCCGAGAATGCATAGGCTGAAAAGAGAACATGTCCACTTTCCCCAAAACAATCTGTTCTAGTTTCTAAAAGTCCCAACAAAAAAGTCAGTGAGAAACCACAACTAAGTCAAGCATGGTAACTTTGAAGAGAAGTTACACTGGCCAAAGAAATATATGATTTAGTATAAAGCAATACATCACAAACGCATATTAATGAGTGAAAATTGTCATATTTCTCCTATAAGACTGTATATAATGCAACACTCATAAACTGCTACCTTCCATAATTGTAGGTTTCCATTGCCACACTCCAAGAGTATCAGAGATATAAAATAACACATAAATCAGTGAATAAGTATATCTATAATTATCACACAAATTTTTAACTAATTTATATACTTCAGAAAAAAAGAACTATGTTTTGATACAAGAATATATAACTTATAACTAAATATCATTGATCTACACATATATGACACATTGATCACAAGTATGCATGAAAGGATAAAGAAAACTATGCATTTTTATCAAGAACCCAGAAATAACTACAATTGGTGATGAAATCCATACCGAATTAATTTTCTCGAGATCAACACCGCGGTGTAGCATTCTTTCTCTACGCTTGACAGCAATCTTTTTTTTACGGAGTTTCTTTTTTTCACCTGTACAAAATCTATGTTAGCAAAGTGAATGGCTGGAATTTCATAAAGGACATTTTTCAACTTCTATAATTCATTCACTTGAAGTTCAACTATTTCCAGTTCAACCATATATATTTCTGCAATCTGCAGTAATGTGGAATTCAAAGTTCAGCCCTCAAGTGAAAAGACAAATGCATAGACACACTAAACATACAACCACTTCCCAACTAGCTGCTTTCTGAGCCTTGTTATTTCAACCATCCAGCCAAAACGAACAAGGGACTAAAATTTTTACAGGTAATTAATGATATTAAGCAAGGATATTTGTGGCTACGACATCCTTCAACTGAAAAACTCAAAGCTTTTGAGGATCAAAAAGTAGAATTAAATTTAATAAGCAAAAACAATTTACTTAAATTAAAACCATAGAACTAAGGGAAAAACATTGGATCTTTGACATAGGGGGGTGCAGAATAGTCGTACCGTGGATTCTTTTGGAGGCTTTACTCTTCTGAGCATGCGAAGGCCAAGAATTAGGAAACTGAGGAACATGCTTCTTTCTAGCAGAAATGGTTCTTGGATCCTTTTCTAGCATTAGGTCATCCAGGGTAATAGGAACATGCTTCTTTACAGATCGTTTCCTCCATGGTTGGGCATTCTTCATGCCATATTCCCTGGAGGCTTCTTGAAGGGAAATGCCACCCAGCTTCTCCAAAGCCTCACCATAGCTTCCGCTTGAAGAACTATCGTCATCTGACTCATCCAAAACAGGGTCTAGCAACCATTTTGCATCGATGATGTTTTGACTACCACCAACTCCTTCTAAATAATCTTCCGCAACATCTTCATCAATGTCTGAATCACTGTCAGATGTGTCTTCGGAATAATTGCTTTCGGATGATTCAAGTCCTTCTTCTGGCTCAGAAGACATAGAGTCACCCTCATCAGATGAGGCTTCAATGTCATTTTCTTCACTTTCATCCTCTGAGATGTCTTCTGTGTATAACTTAAGACCTCCAATAGAGAGAAACCCTGAATTTCTCGTAGAAGACACCTTTGATGGCAAGTCTTCTTCCATCTGATTGCTTAACTCACAGTTGATAACCTCATCAGAACCAACATCCTTTTCGAAGGATGATGAATCTAAAACTGGGGTTGACTGTAGCATTTGTTCAGATGATTTGCCAATGCCACTTGGGGTCTTATCATGTTCAGCAGGGAAACCTAATCCTCTATGAGAGCTGTCTCCCAAAACAAAATCACCATAACTGTAACTATATTCCACACTGTTGTGCTTTGAAGGAGGTGGTGTCTGGTCTTCATTAGCAATAATTTGATTCTGCTGGGAATCCACCGAAGCAAAAGGTCGAAGCATCTGATTTAAATTACTATCTTCATTGTTGTTCCCAATCCCAACACGCGAGACCTCCTGGTATATACCGATAAATGCAAGTTACTCTGAAGCAACTATGGACATAGCTTATCAGACACTTAACGAAACTATGCTGAGGGGTAAATTCAAAGATAAAAAAATTTAACCTTTATGTTTCATCAAGTTGTAGAATTTATGATAAATATACTCCTCTAGGATACTTAACTGAACTAGTAAGTAAAAGCACTCACAAAACTTGTGAGTACATATACGGTCAAAACATTGCTGCAAACAATTTATGATGCAGCTAGTGAGTATAAAAATCAGTCATTATACTATCTATAGTACATCTTATACAACGTTGAAACTTAAACTAATAATTTTTGTGGAAATTTTTTGTTCACCTAGAAACCTATGAAATACTTGTTGCATGATGAAAAATTCTAGCAAGAAAATCCCAGTTTAAGAATTTTACTTTTTACACAATGTAAACTCTTTAGATCATTAAATCCTAAACCAAAACTCGGTTTTCATTTTTCTACCATTGGGATAAACACTACAAAAAATGCATAACATTAAAAACTTCATTATAAAGCATACAAACCTGAACATCAGGGGAAGAATAATTGAATCCAATAGTAGTCCCTAAAGATTTTGCAAATCCATTTTCAGAAGCAGAAGCTTCTCCTCTACGTAGACTCCCAGATTTGTTATTGGAACCACCATTTCTACCTGCACTCCATTAAAGGAAAAAAAATCCAAAACAAAGCATCGAAGGTCACACATTGAAAATTAAAAACTAATCTGATTAAGAAAAAAAATCCATTTTGAGCAATCAAACAGAGAGAGAAATAGATAGAACCTGAATTGCGGTTGGAGGAGGAGGGACTCCAATCGGATAAGAATCCACCTTCAACAAAAAGTGCTTCTCTAGCAACTGAACCTCTTTTGCGGATTTTAGGGTTTCCACTGCCGCTTCCGCTGTTGTTGGATCTTCCTCTACCTCTTCCTCTTCCTCTTCCACCGCCCATTTTTGCTTCGATTGAGCAATCGCGGTTGTGGTTTGTTTTGGAACGTGCTTTGTTTTCGTTCAATGGCGGTGAAGATTAATGCAATGACCAAACAAGCGTGGGACCGAGTCTCCATACGGGTTAACCGACCCGCTAGAATATTCCCCATCCGATCCGAATAAAAAATGTACCTCCATGTTGGGTTCAATTTTAGGCCCAATCAACTGAATAGAAAGAGGATTTTTTATCTCACCCTTACTCCACGAAAAACACTCACTGAAAAAATTTAAAATGCTCTTTAGATTTTGGAGATTTATCTTTGAACGTATATTTTTCTAAATCAAAACATTAACTGATTCGGAGATGCATCTCCGTAGTATTTCAAAACATAGATCATGCATATACTTTGAAAGGCATTTTACACGTTTATGGTTCCGGAGATGCATCTCCCGACGGAGTAGGCTGTCGAGGATGTTTCGACTTGGTTTTGCAAGATGTCCCGTCGACCCTACTTTTGCTTCTTTTGTCGAAATTTGTCAACTAACAAATAGCCCCCCTAAAAGGTCAGCTTCGACTAAGAAACTAGCGTTTTAAATTCTGCCAAATTTTGCCTTTACGTCACGTTTGTTGGCATCGCGCGTCATGATGACAACTTTTCGACGCTGCGATTTCCAAGAAAACCTTCATCATTAACCACGATCTTGGCTATTCCCTAGGTCATGGGTTTTCAACTTCCCCCCATTAAACCTCCCACTACAGTGAAAACAAAACAATCATAAAACTGTTGTCGACTGCCACTTATCAATCATGGTTGTTTGATTCTTGATGTCTATTGATGGGGAAAATAGCAAGTGTACTATTTTTTCCAATTATAGTTTAAATAGGGATTTTATCCCCATAATCGATCTCGATGACTGCGTCGGAATACAAGTTCTTATAATAATTCAATTAAACAAAAAGTACTTGGCGTGTAGGATTGTTTAGTGAAATTATAAAGGAACAGTAAGAAAATAAATACAAATAATAAAATTGAGTTTTAAAAGATATGAGACACATGCTAGGGTACAATGTATGAATTTCCTTGCAACAACCTTAATCCTTATTTACGAGACATGCCTTAAAACAAACCTTTACCGATTCTCAAGTGTATTTTTACCTAAGTCCTTAGGCAGAAAAACCTTTGAGATTCATCCTAAACCCTAAGTCCTTAGAGATTTAGGATGAATATCAAGAATGTTACGGTTACTATAGGGTATCCTTAGTCCTATATGAAATCTACTATAGTGTTATTGCACAAAAGCATTAACAGTGGTTTGTCCGACCTAAAGTTAACTGTAAATCAAATTTTATTTGTCCGATAGAAAAAGCATTAAGCACATTGTAAAATAAAATTGATTATAAAATAAGCACATATGTCATAGAATAAAGGAAATCAAGTTCATTACAAAAACAATTCAGGGACACCCCCTAGCATTGGGGGATTTAGCCGCTCATAGTATTCAAATCAAATTCACAATTAAGATTAAACATTACAAGATAATAGGACTCCTTTGATCTTCAATTGCTTTAGTGCATGAAAATCTTCAGTTCTCCCATTGTTCTTGATCGCTCAATTCTTGGTCGTAATTTCTCTCTGTAGTCAAAAGTCCCTTTCTCTAGTTCTAAAAGCCTCTCAAGCAGTCACAAGTCCAATATAGCAGTGGCGAAATACCCAGAATACCCTCACGAATCACTAAAGTGAAAAATCCAAGAAAATCAGAATTTGAGGCACCTCAGCCAACACGGGTCGTGTTGGCCCCCTGTTCTTCTGCGCCCGGGTCAACCCCCTAGATTCCCATTTTCCTATTCTTTTGTTAGCCTCTTCCTGACACAGCCCATGTCAGGGGTCACGGGTGGTCGTGTTAGGCCATATGTCTCCTTCTAAAAACACTTCTAACTTCCTGGAACTTCCATTTTCTTCGCACGTGTCTGTTGGGCTTTTCCGATTAGACCTAAAACCATTAGAAACTACCAAACCAAAGCATAAAACACACATGATTGAAATAAAACAACAAAATCATAAAATGCGAGAATATAAGACGAAAAGTAAAATTATCTCGAAAAATAATGAAAAGACTAAACAAAATATTATTGATTCATGGATTAATGTCGACTAAATGACGGAAACATAGTAGAAATGGTGACCGATCAAACTCCAAACTAGGCATGGCAAAAAAACCCGGACCCGTCGGGGCCCGCCCGGACCCGCCCCGAAATTAGCGGGGAAAACCCGGTTTGAGTGGGTACGGGTGCGGGTGCGGGGAAAATTCGATTTTTAATTACGGGTGCGGGTACGGGTGCGGGTAGACACTAAGACCCGCCCGCACCCGGCCCCGCCCCGCACCCGAATAATTTATTTTAATTTAATTCTCTTATTTTACTTATTTTAATATTTATTTATTAATTATATTTTTAATTAAATTATTAATACATTTATTGCAATTAAAATAAATAAATTAATCAAGTTAATATTAATTTACTAATTAAAATTTTAATTAAATAAATAATTTATTTATTAAATAATTAATTTTTTAATTAAGTTATTAATTTTTATTGTAATTAAAAATAAAATAAAAAATTTCGGGTGGGGGCGGGGCGGGTGCGGGTGCACCCGTTTTCTACTGGGGGCGGGTTTGGGTGGTAAATTTTTACCCCCGGTCGGGTTTGGGGGCGGGGGCGGGTGTGTTACATGAAAGCGGGTGCGGGTGCGGGTATAGTAAAACCCGCCCCCGACCCGCCCCGTTGCCATCCCTACTCCAAACTTAGCTCATTGCTTGTCCTCAAGCAATGCTCGAGACAGCAGAAAGGTCACCCCTAAATCACACACAATCGACTTACCACAATACCACTAATATCTTTCACAACTCTCTTTTCACTTTTCCAGCAACGTTTCCTGCTTCCTCGATCTGAACATTCCGCTACACTTTCACATCAAAGCACCTCTTTACCTGTCAGCTCCTTCACACTCTCACCAAAATCTCTTATGGGTAAAGTGTTTACACTTAACAAACAGAGCATGCAAAATCAACTCATAAGTTTGAAAACCATCTATTTTCATCGCAAACACATACCACACACACTTTTTGAGGTCTTTCGAGTTGTAACAGGGCTTAGGGTTAAAGGGGGATAAACAAGAAAACGGGAAAACAAATGGTTTGAGGCTCAGAATCGATGTTGTCATTTTTGTCATTGTGTTATTTGCATTGTTCATATTCAAGGGTATCAGGCACTTTTCCAGCTAGATTTTAGTTCCTACTCAAGTGTTTCTCTTGAGCTTATTTTTTCATTTTTTGAACTAAATCTCTCTTCTAGGTAAGTGTGTTATCTTTCTTCTCAAGTTTTTCTTCTTTTTATTTTTTTTCTCGATCACAAATCTCTTTTTTCTTCTTTTTCTTTTTCAATTGCACTTACCTAGTTATTATAGGTTCCCCAACCCCAAACTTAGAACTTTTCACAGAGCGAATACTGACAACATGTATCTGAGCAATGTAGGGAAGTGTATGAGCTTATGGTTAATTGATGTGGTGATAAAACAAACGAAGGGTGAATGGCTCGAGTGGGGTTAACGAAGGATACCATAAAAGGGATGGCTCGAAAGGCTCGGGGTTAAAAGAAAACATGTGCCTCAGAGTGTATAAGTGTGCAGTGAAACTTTAACAGACAATATGCAAACTCGGAGCGATGGAGACATACCTAAATACTCTCATGATGACTAATGTGTTTGGATTTTTATGCCTCGCCATGTTTGGTATAGCTTAACAGGTTCCAAAGTGCTTCTAGTATGGTGAAACTTCCTATCCGGCTCGGGTGCATAGTACTCCAAAATCAGTTCAGTGTCAGAGAGTCGCGTCCAATCATCTTATTCAGCAATATCAACTTTTTGGGGCTTCCTAGGGAGCAAATAAGGGTAGAAACTTTTCATCCACTAGTACAAGTCTCATCACTCATTTGGCAAAAACACCACGAATCTATAATACAAGCAACATAATACACTAACATCAAAGTAAAAGCGAACAAAAAAGACGGAAAATAACAAAAACAAATAACAATACTAAAAGCAATACCCCTCCCCCTCATACACACACACACACACACACACATATTTGAACTAAACATTGACCTTAATGTTTTAGTACAAGCTATAGAGGGGAACTCACATAGCCTCACTACGAAGGAGGGAATATAATAAGCAGGAGCAATATAAATCATACCCTATTGGATGAGGGCAACCATGTCCAGCTTATCCCTACTTGCTACCGGTGTCTCATTAAGTGCCGCAGGGTAATAGCCAAAATGCTCAGCTATTTGAATAATCATCCCCCCAACAGAGATGCCCCCTTGAGTTGCCCGACCGACTCTGCCTAAGTAATCTTCCAGAAAAGTAGTTACACTAACAATTTCCACATTCGTCATAGCATACAGAAAAAATAATTCTCTATGGGTATCCACCTCTGTGCTATCACCCCTACCGAACAATGTATACGACAAGCCCTTTTGGGCATACCTGAAGCAAGGGTTTTGGATACCATAGGCCTTAACACCTTTGGCGACATACTCTGTTTTCCTGCGATTGTAGTCTAGAATGCTTTTGCATCAAACTCTTCCGAAACAGCTCCAGGTCCATACAACGGGAGTCGGAGGATGCCTCCTAACTCCTCAACAGTCAGTTCATGATTAGTATTATATAAACAAAAATTCATAGTACCATAATAGTACTTCATTGTAACTGTCCACTTCTTCTTTAGATGAAACTCAACAATGCTTAAAAATTCAAGGGTTATTCGTTCAAAAGTTAGTGCCTCAAAATGCATAAGTCCAAGCATGCCCAAAACATGAAACACTCTATCAATTTCTACATTTAAACCTAATTCAGACAAAGTTTTATTACACATATACCTCTTCGGAGTGAATTTACGCTTAACATGGTACGAATAGTGCTTCTCGTGCTCCGGACTGTCAAATATAATGTTATGTGCGTTGGG